ATTGCCGGGCAAACATTCCTCTTCTAGATATTTTTAATACGTAACGCGAGCGAATCAATGAGTCAAGTCTAGTCCGAGCACGGCTTTTGGAAATTATTACGATGGTCTGTCTTTCTATCACGAACAGGCCCCTGGTTCATGTCTCTTCACGTACATACGTGATTCGAAACCTGAAGCAACGAAGATTGGATTCAAAATTCAATTTTTCTTCATTTTTATAATGTAAACGGACTTTGTGCGACTTTCCTTGCATCAGCTTGCGATTGCCGTAGTATTTAAGTGGCAAGTCTTGAAGGTTAATGTTGATAATAATTTCGAAAACTGATTATTGGAATAAATTCCAGCAATGCGAAAACTTGTTTGAAAAATTCTGAGAAATGTCTAAGATTGATTAAAAGGATTTCTAGAAGAATTAGTAAAGAACCCTACGTTGAGGCAATTAATGATATGTATAAAATTGAAATAATGGTTATATCTGATAATGCGATAAGATGCTTTTTGGCCATGGTTTTTCTCTCTTTTTTTTTTTTTAACAGAATGGAAAAGTAAACAGTGTAGATAAGAGAGAGACGTGATCAACAAGTAGACATCGATCCACCGTCTCTGGCCTGTGTCCCCTCGATTATTATTCGTAAAGGTTTGCTCGACGCGAGTAATTCACATGGCTCGATCGTATTCCAGGCACATCGTGAAGTTTGGAGGAGTCAGGCAGAGCTCGCGTCAGCTTTGCAAACTGCCAATCCGTCGAAATGTCATTTGATGTCGAAGAATTTTTGTCGACGAAACTCTCTCTCTCTCTCTCTCTCTCTCTCTCTCTCTCTCTCTCTCTCTCTCGCTTTCTCATATTTCTCATAATTCCTTCCATAAATTATCCTGATTCGACACGATTATTCGACGTAAGAAGCAACATTAGCGTCTCTCGTTCAGAGACTGAGCGCAGAGTTTTGTGCGGGATTTCAGAAAAAATATGATTCTTCTATTCGCACTTTGTAAGGTTTATTCGGAAATAGTTGAAACGCTAATCAATTTCTCCAGCGAGAACCCATCCAGTTATTCTTGCTCAGAGATCACTCGAAATAGCGTAGTCTAAGATTCTACTTAGTGAAAATCTGACACTAAGTTCAACTGCTTCTTCGTTGTGCTTCACGTAGTTGGAATAGGGTATGGTGGTTGCGAATGTTTGTCTTTGATCGACAGCGCGCGTATAACGGCTGTCCTATTGAATTATCACGTGATAACTCGAGGATGATTAGGTTATCTGTTCATGATATTCCGCATCGCTGACGTATCAACGAAACTTGGTCTTCGTGCTCGCTACACACGCGTGCACTTTCCATGAGAATATCTTCTTTCAACTTGAACAGGGAGGAATTTTTGCAAATTTCAAAGTTGGATGTTCAAGGTTTGCCCTTGTCGTCAAGACTTCGCGGGATAAATTATGACTTATTTTATGCAATTCCAGAAATTGCACGAGTCAAGTATGATAAAAACTTTGATAAGAAAAAGTGACTAGTTTCTTCTCTGATTTACCCCTTATCACCCGATTAACTGTTAGTCATCGGTGTTCCCAACTATCTGTATTGCTTGTTTCGTTGTACAATGAGACGACTGGGGTTTTTAGTGAAAGATTGGTCACAGTGAGATAGCTAATTGTGTCGCAGAATTGTGTCACAATTGTTCATCGAACAGAAGACAATCAGAAATACTTTTTAATTTCATGAAATTTTCCAATTTCAGAATGACGTTAACACACGAGGTGTTTTTAGTGCTATCCGCTGTTTTCTATCCCCATCTATCGAACAGCGAGCTTTTAAAATTAACCAACATCGTATAGGAAGCAAATGTTACTCGATCAATCTTTCAATTTTCCAAAAAGCACCAAACCAGTACGGTTCTCCTAAAGTAAATTCTGAGACCTCCGTCATATCCACTTGTCTGTGTTACAGCTTTAAGTAACTATATTTTCTCGTAAACACGGATGTGTCAATCTTCATGAAAGATCGACCAGAGGATACTTCTTTCTCCCTCAAAAATGAATTCGTATCTTTTCAAATAATATTCCTTCTTTCCTTATAGACCTGTGTTCCACGCTATGGTGTAATAAGTCGACTGTGAACTCGGCGGATATTGAATTAAAATTGTCTATTCCGGGGACACGGTTCATCGACGATTCGATTATCTCAAAAACACGCTTCCTCTTCTTTAAAGAACTTGAACCTTTTTTATATTGCTCGTCATTTCTTCTGTGCTACATAATATATTCATCACTTTCGTAGAATAAACTTCATATAACGGGATTTGTATCGTATTATGTAATATTTGGAGAAAGTTAGAGGCCTAAGGAGGATCTCAGAATGACGTGTCAGTCGTTGTATATACAATACATCGAATCGAAGATTCAAGCTTTCCTAAAACACGAAATTTCTTTAATGCAACTTAACGTTCTGGTTTCACATCGGTTGTATACTTTTCCATCTTGCAACATTCACTTCTTCTAATAACGAAAATAAGGAACAAGAATTAATATTCGAAAAAGAACTATCAAGTTTTTCTTCTTCTCTTTTTCATCGAACATCTACGGTCTATCCAGAGAAATCTACTGGAAATCTTCGATTCTTGAGATCTAGACCTGACAAGAGGTCAGATAGCCTAATTAAACGAATTGTTTTCTCTGTGATTCGCGAAGAAGCCTCACAATTGTACGAAAGCAGACGCAAAATCAGCCAACATTTCATCGGAGCTGGGTAACTTTTCAAATTACGCGTTCCATCGAGTCTCCTTGGTTCGTGGAAGCCTGAAAAATCTTGTAGAAAAGCTTCCCCCC